TTCAGCAACAACATCAATTTGTTGTTTCAGATTAGTCAGCAACAACAACGAATTCAACTGAATAACAGTCAACTGAATTTGATGATAAAAACGTTAATAGTCAGATTATTCAGCAACAACATCAAATTGTTGTTTCAGATTAGTCAGCAACAACAACGAATTCAACTGAATAACAGTCAACTGAATTTGATGATAAAAACGTTAATAGTCAGATTATTCAGCAACAACATCAAATTGTTGTCTCAGATTAGTCAGCAACAACAACAAATTCAACTGAATAACAGTCAACTGAATCTGATGATAAAAACGTTAATAAGTCTATTGGGCTCTGCCTCTTCTGCGGGTGTGGGGATTCTAGTTACCAATGGGTTTGTCCATAGAAGTTAAGCAACTTCCGCAATGGCTGAAAAAAGGATGGGTGACTAAAAATATCTCATACTTAGAATTTCTCCGTGTTTTAGAAGGCACGTTAAACTGTTGGTCGCGCCCGGCTATATCGCAGTGGTAAGTAGTAGAAAAAACAGCTTTCGAGCTAGTCTCAAATGTTGTGTATTGTTGTGTTACGAGCAGAATATAAGATTGCCAGCTGTAAATAAGTTAAGGCTGGCGCAAGGCTGGAGAATCATGTTTCTTTGACGAATACAGCAGCTATCTCTCAACTGGACTCCACTTGTGCCTGTCATGACTCCGCCCTTTCCGATGTTAAGTGTTGGTAGTGTCCAAACGCAAATATGACTGATGCAACGGATTCACCTGCCACACAAGTCATGAGCCTGCACAAATGACTCTTCACGCCTCTGTTTACAAACCCCGATAACGTGCGGAAAAGCGAATATCCTACGTATGTTGTAAATGTAAAAGTTTTGGTATGTTACTCAATCACACAAAAACTACTGAATGCATTTGGATGAAATTTGGTATGCATATAGTTATGACCTGGATAATTTTAAAGGCCCTAAAACCAGAGCGGTAAAAACCAGACAATACTCCTGCACCGGTCACCCAACACGCATTGTGAGGATCGAGGCCCCCCATGAGCGCCGAGAGTGCGGGTTTATGTTGCGGCACCAACGGAACTGGCCGTGCACCCGCAAGGTGATTGTCCGTTTCCCAACTCCCCCGGATGAGCGGTGCCCAGGAGTAAAACGGGCACCACCCATCCCAGGAACCGTGCAATGTGAATCGACGCTCCCCACGTCGAGGGGGACAGGGAGCGTAGTTCTCTCCGTTTCTCTCACCTCGCCATCGGCGCGAGAGCCGGAGCCATTCATTCCCCCGCCGCCCGCGATTCTCGTTCCTCTCTCCGGCGAGAGAGGAGGAGAGCCACGAGCGCCGAGGGGCGAGTAGGATATGTCGGAGCGATCGAGATCACTCAGACATTCCCCTGTCTGAGGGCCCCGGCTCTGGCGTCAAGGACTTAGCGACCCGCCCCTCAGAGGTCTTGCCTCTGACGACAGGAGGTTCGCAACCCTTTCCCTCCTATGATATGCCCCGATGGCCGGCCATGTACTCTGCACACGGAGCAGCGGGCCACAGCGCGGCAATCTGCCGCCCTTTGCCCGGCTCCCCCACACCCGTAGCATATTCGGCTCTGGTCCATCTCAGAAGGGCTTCGCTGGGCACTGTGTTCATTGCCCAAGCACCGGTAACAGTGCACTGGGAAACAGGACCTTCACCCTTCCGATGTTCTACTCCACTTTTATCTTCGTCTCTTGGGCCACCTTTTTGGCAGCCCTTAGTGGGCACCGGACTCTGGCGAACCTGGTCCTCCGGGTCATCATCTTATTGGTGGCGTAGCTCCCCTTGCTCGCCACCGCCTCCACGAGCTTCGACATGGTGACGGTCTCGTCCAGGCCGGAGATCCGACGGTCTACGGTTTTCTCCGGCCTATTTCGAGGTATTCGTCGAGGACGTCGATCATCTTCGCGGAAAGCGCATCCGCCTTCTTGTCACCGTCTGGGCCCGGGACCAATATTAAGAATAAGGAACTAAATAATGTCTTTTTACCCGGCTGCGCAATGCAAGAGCGCGAAGCGCGACGCGCAGACAGGGTTATGTGTTTAACAGTCTATATATGTATGTTTGTTCCTTTGTGGCACACTAGAGACCAAACGCCTGGACCGATTTTGATGATTCATACATCAATCGATTCGTCTCAATCATGGGAGTGCTACTAAAGATATGATAGTAATCAAAATTCAATATGGGCAAAATTAGGCGCCATATTGTGACGATGTAAAAAAAATAAGTTGACAAAATATGTCGAGTGGGGTATCACTGTCTAGATAATCAAAAATCATAATTAGGTTCCTAACACCATTTTTCATTTAATATGATTGTTTAGGATCTACAACGCTTTAAAGTTGTATATTAACCACTTACGCTTTTAATTTCAATCTTACGTTTGTATGGATCTTTGTTACTCTTTCACCTAAAAATACTGAATGGATTTTAATGAAACTTAACAGTAATATAGCTCATATATGATAATTACATATATATAATAATTTATGAAGTTATTGAGTGAATTGGCCAATATAAAACAATAAGTGTCACATAAGACGGAAAAAATCTCCCATCTGCGAGCCATTTTGGCCTGCACTGCAAAAACAATAAAAGTTACATGAATGTAATGTAGAGTGAAAATGTATCTCTTAAATAGTTCTAAAAAAAAGTCCGTGACACCATATATCTATTTTCAATGTGTCAGTCATTACCGCTAAAATAGTGAATCAAAACTAAAATATTATTTGATATCTATTTCCAAAATGCACATTTTGTATTAACAAATCATTTTTTGTCGAAACAAATACTTTTATCGCTTTTGATATTTAAAGACGATAAACTTTGCCATTTACACTATGTCATTTCGACAAATACCTATTTAAAAAGTTACAACGATGATAAAGTGATAGCGCGGTGTACTATGTAAAAGAAAAAAAAATGGGCTATTCGCAGTATCTGATCCTATACGAAGCACTAACAATAAAACTGTGATACAGCTCCTTCTTATTAAATGATGAAAAATATATTATCATGATTGGTATTTATGATAATTGAATTTTAATGTAAAGCTCAGAATTTTACTTTTTAATTTTTTTAACGATATTACCTAATGTTACAAAAAAGGTTTACTTAATATAATGACAAATAACCCATTTTCGCTAGTAAGTACATATTTATTGGAATCCCTGTATTTATTAATCAGCTCGCGATAATATTGGTTTTGTAATAATTCTGCAAAATTCAAAGTAAATAATGTAGATTTTTATAGGTAAATCATCCCTTTCATCACCCTACGCCTATAAGTATTGCGATGTTGTAGCTAAGAACCAAGTTCCCATCTACTTCTATATGGAAATTCATTATATTCGATTTAGCTATTAAGGCACGGAAGCGCAACAAACAAACTCACTTTCACATCTATAATATTATATTATACTTACTAGTGATCCACCCGGGCATTGTACGGGCGAAATTTATTTATCGGGAAAAAATATAGCCTATGTCACTCGGACAAAATGTATTTAAATAAAGAAAAATGTAATAATAAATAATGTAGCTACCTTATGATGAATTATTATTTGAAACCGGTTCAGTAGTTTGACAGATTATTTGTTACAAACATACAAATCTTGCCTCTTTATAATATTAGTATAGATAGTTAGGATAAGATAAGTATTTAATTGATGAAAAAGTTTAAAAAATAAAGTAAGTAATCGGTTTATTTGATTATATTTGTAAAAGTTACTTAGCATTTGTGCTTAACAGTGATACGTTATTCGGTATTTTTTTAAACAAAAGAAATTTGGAAAATAATTGCCATGATTGCCCTACTGGGAGTACTCTTCATTCGAGCTTTTCACTACCAATAAAAAAGGGTCGATCACAAAGTCTTTGACCTGTTATATGTGAAACGCTTTAAAAGAAAACTACAAAGAGAACTATATATTGATAATAAATGAGATTGCTATGGTGCTCTACCTAACTTTATGAAAATTTTATTATGCGTCTTTAGTTTAATCAAATATTATAAACTTTGCTTTGGTGATTGCATAATTATTTAATTTAGTGATCTAAGGCAGTTGCCACCATTTTCCAAAACAACAAACGGGAATTACTGCTTTCTTTAACCTGGGACATAAACGTCATTGATTGGTATTGTATATAGGGTGATTAAAAACATTTGAAGTTAACTTCTGGCATCTACATATTGGGTTTCTGTGAATTATGTAGGTATATCAAATTATGAGACTAGGGACTGACACTGCATTTGTGTATATCACAATCTTAGACGTCCGGCATTGACATGACAATGCAGCCACTGCCAATTTTGAATAGTCGACGAATAAAAGTAAATGAATTTTATATTTACTGAACATAAACAAAAGATGACTTTTTGAGTAAGTTCTAGTTGTATGTAACGACTTGATTTAACTTCACACATTTTTGCGAAAATTAAGGCCCATCTGTAGCCTTGACCCCGCTGGTAAAGTCTCTATATGTCTTAATAAATCAATCTTTTGGACCAACGCAAGGTACTTAATAATTCCCGCGATATTAATTCCCTTACTGAAGTAACAAGACTACGGTATATACCGTCTTAAAATACCAACTAACTAAAAAGCGTGAAATAAAAAAGGTAAATTTAAAAAATCAAAAAACCCGACTGCTTAATTATACTTCAAATAAAAACTGAAATGAAAAAAACAAGTCCAGTAGTCTATAATTCTGTTAATAAGGAACAAAGCTACTTTAACAGTCGGGACCCACTTTTGAAAAATATTATGTATTCTTAAATATCTAATGGGTCCCGACTGTTAAAGTAGCTTTGTTCCTTATTAACAGAATTATAGACTACTGGACTTGTTTTTTTCTTTTCAGTTTTTATTTGAAGTATAATTAAGCAGTCGGGTTTTTTGATTTTTTAAATTTACCTTTTTTTTATCTATTTAGTGTTTGAATTTATTAAGTATAACTAAATAATGTCTTTTAAGTAATTAACCATCAACTTCCAGCTGTTGTAGCAATGTAAACATGGAATAGGACATCTTGATGATCTGCGAAAGAAAAATAAGAACAATTTAAAAGCGGTAGGCTATAGGGGACTTTGTTAATTAGTATATAACTACAAACCAGTGAACCAATAAATGTTCACCAAAACCTGATTTAAAAAATGTATGTATTATCTATCTCTTATCGTTTCCAAGATATAGAAATCACGTGATTTCTCGAAAACCGGAAGTGCTACGTTACTCAAATCCGGGTTGTAGTCTCTTTATCTATCTCTTACGGTTTGGCCGCTGAAACAGCACCACAGACAGACGGACGGACTTGTCTAATAGATAAGAGATAATTTTTGTCAACGGGTGCTCCACGAATTAAATGATCGCTGGCCGCGAAATACGCGTCGTGTCGAGCCTAGCACTGCACAAATGAGGGATATTGAATCGCATTTTTACTTGCGACGAAAGATGAATTCTGTTCGATATTAACTAGATCCGCAAGCGCTCAGCAAGTAGATTGGATCTGGTTCAACACCTAAACAGTGCCCCAAACGAAAACTGACCCCCAAAAAGTGATGATCATTATTTGGTGGTCTAGCGCCGGTGTCATGCATCGCAGCTTCTTACCAAACGGAAAGAGCTTTACTGCAGATGTATATACATCGAAGAACTGAACACAATGATGGAGAAGCTGGCACATCTCCAACCAGCTTTGGGCAATCGTTCGGCTGTACGACAACGCGCGACTTCATACTGAACAGTAGACGGTCTCCAAGTTACAAGAGCTGAGGTTGGAAGGTCTCCGTCATCCACCATCCTCACCAGATCTTGCCCATACTGAATTCAACTTTTTCCAGAATTTGGATAACTTCTTATCCGGCGAATAAATCAATGGCAGTTTAGAAAACAAAAAAAAAACACGGACAATTGATTGATTGACTTCTATATATATAAAACTCAAAGGTGACTGACTGACATAGTGATCTATCAACGCACAGCCCAAACCACTGGACGGATCGGGCTGAAATTTGGCATGCAGGTAGATGTTATGACGTAGGCATCTGCTAAGAAAGGATTTTAATCAATTCTACCCTCAAGGGGATAAAATAGGGAATGAAAGTTTGTATGAAACTTTGTCAATTTTAAACCGATCGGGCTGAGACTTTGCATGCAGGTATAAGAAGAATCATAGATGAATGTCATTGTGTAAAATACAAGCCTGAGAACAAAAACTGTAGTCTACACTTCAGCTCTACACCGAAGCGAAACGAGGGCGGGCCGCTAGTTGATTAATAAAAATAAAAAATATGGAATAAAAGAACGATAACTTATTTCATGAAAAACGGCAATTTCATAATCAAAAAAGACCTAATATAATTTATTATAAAAACATTAACATTAGCAAGTCGCGCCGTAGTAAGTAAATGATGAAATGATTTTATTTATTTTTTAAGTATTTAACTGCTAGATAACTATAATTGCTATTTCTTCTTTCTAATGTTTAATACTTGAAAAAGTATTCATTTGACATTGTGGGTTACCTACAATGCGAAGAGACGGGCTACCTTGCAGCTTAAGGCTAGGAAAATTTCGACGCGGCTAATTGGGTCGTGGTAGCATAATGGTCAGTGCATTCGCCCTGATAGCGAAGGATGCGGGTTCGAGTCCCGTCCGCTGCCTGGTCCGCGTGGATTTTTTTTCTAGTAAACTTTTCTTTAGATTTAAACATCTAGCAGTTAAATGTTTAAAAAATAAATAAAATCGTAACTATAGTTGCTATTTCTTCTTTCAAATGTTTAATACTTGAAAAAGTATTCATTTGACATTGTGGGTTACCTACAATGCGAAGAGACGGGCTACCTTGCAGCTTAAGGCTAGGAAAATTTCGACGCGGCTAATTGGGTCGCATAATGGTCAGTGCATTCGCCCTGATAGCGAAGGATGCGGGTTCGAGTCCCGTCCGCTGCCTGGTCCGCGTGGATTTTTTTCTAGTAAACTTTTCTTTACATGATGTAATGTTTAATTTTCTCAATACTCACTCCCATGAAAGAAGCCAGTGATAAAGTGGTAAACCCCGCAGCTGTGATCCTGGCGACTCGCCGGGACCTCGTCATGATGATGAGCAGGGAGCGTCGGAGAGGCGTGGACATCACGTACCAGGGGCACTCGTAGGCCGCACCTGCTGTTTTAGTACTCTGAAACAATTTTTCGTATGAATAGGTAAGTGTTCATGAAAACCTTTGCTTTCGACGATGTCTTTACGCTAAACTTAGTGTATTTACGTCGCTGTTCCACGGTGGTTCTTCACCTCATGAAGCAGGGATTTACCAATTGGATTTCACTTCGCCATTTTGATGGCATTTTAGTTGACAGTTATTAAAAAGTAAGAAAACTAAAAGAGTTTGGCCCAAGTCATATTATAATGATTTGAACACCACATTGTAATCTTTTTTGTATGTAGTGGTAATGATAAATGAATGACAAATAGCAACCATACATACCTCTTCGGAAAGCTGATTCCCCTGGTAACAGTAAATAAACACTTGAAACATCATGTTCACCAAGTAAGTGCCCATGGCAATCAGGCGGACAGGATTACCGGTCACCTGAACATGAAACAACAATATAGTAAATAACACAAAGTAATTTTTTAATAATATTATTGTTTTGTTATTTACATAAGAATAACATTGTGAATGCTCATAAGATCAAATAACTTACTATTGTTAACACTGGGCTTTGAACAATTAAGTCATAAAACAAGAAAGATTACTTTTTAAGGGTGTTGAACTTAAGTATTAGTATCAATTTTGTAACTGAAATATCCGATGTTCCAAAAGGAGCAATAAGTAATACACAACTGCATGTTATTTCTATATTCTCATTTTAAGTGGACTGTATGACTCTATGGTAAATAAACTATCTTTGAACCTAAGTATACATTAGTCACTCCCGAGGAGCTCGGTGGCGCAAGTGGTTAGCACGTTCGGCTGCGATTATTAAAGTTAAGCAAGTTTTTGCAGTGGTCGGTCATTGGATTGGTGATCAAAAAATTAACTACCTTGCGCTCCTCTGTATTTCGGACAGCACGATAAGCCGTCGGTCTCGGCTTTATTTTCAGTCGTTGGCACCCACCAATCCACACTGGGCCCGCGTGGTGGGTCACGGGCCAATCGCCCTATTCTGTCCATAGCGAAGACCTGTGCTCCAGAAATGAGGACATTAATAGGCTCATGATGACGATGATACATTACTCCCACCAATAACAGCAATAACTGCTTATGTAAGGAGGTTGACGGTGGTAAGAGCGTTCATTCTTTGAATTTAAAAGGCCCATCAGCAAATAGATGACCGCCACTCTTCTTTACTTTTGGTAGCATGTGAAGCCGTTATTCCCAGCTGCATCTACTACCATTAGCACCCACCAACCCGCACTGGCAGGGGCGTATTTTAAAATCTACCACTTGGGCCACTTACGATGGGTGCCCCCGGAATAAGAAAATTATTATGTCAATAATCAATGGCTGGCCCTTGCCGCCTCATAGCTTTTGCAGCCACCTCTCGCAGCCTACCACCCCGGGCTTTAGCCTTCTTGGTTCTATGGTAAATACGCCCCTGCTCACTGGGTTCATGGTGTTAGCTTGATCTCAATATATGATTCTGTCCATCGAGAAAACCTTTGCAACAGTACAGAGGACATTAAGAGGCAGACAATAATGATGATTAGTACCGAGACCAGCTGAAAAGCAGTGACACAGATGATGACGAGCGACACGTTGAACTGCATGAACACCTGCTCGGAGAAGCAGTGCTGCAGCAGGTGAGCTGTCTCAAGTGCATCATGGTGCTGCTTCACGCAGATTTCCAGACGAGATTTGACCATGGCCTCTTCTTCTGCTTTCAGGAATTTCTAAATGTACAAAAAATCAAGATGCAAAATTTACATCAATTTACACGACGAATCTAACATTGCTTAGCCCTTAAAACTTATATAATGGGTGCCAAATGATGGAAGCTCTTCATAACATATAAGAAGATGTATAAACCGGGAAGAGAACCAGGCAGCCTGCTACGATTTTTTAACGAAAATTGGTTTATGCCGGCTTAAATTTGACTTAATTTACTCCAAGAGAAACGAACTTCGGCCCGACTATCATTTTAAGGGTTCTGTTGCCCTGACAAGGAACCCTGATAGTTTCGTCATGTCCATCTGTCCGTCCCCGGTCTTGCTTGGAGACTGTTAGTACTAGAGGGCTGCAAGAGATATGTATATCAATCACGTCGATAAATGGTAGAATATAATTATGAAAAATATTTTTTTTGAGGGTAGCTGGGCTACATGTAACCTTGGGATGATTTTATTTTTCATCGTCTACCCTATCGCGTGGGGTATGGTTAAACAGGTCCTTTAAAATTACTTAGGGGTACTATTTTTCGATTTAGGGTACTGTTTGCGAAATATTGAACTTTAAAGTGTTAATTTTTGTTCGTGTAGGGCGTCCCTCTCCTCTAAAATCTAAACTATTGGCTTGAAATACCTGGAAAATTTTGTGATAATAGTGCCTTTAATGAACTTTCAAGGAAAAGTATAACGGTTAAGATAGATTTATTACTTTAAGAGTAGTAGTCGTTCAACTTTGGTTAAAAACAATTTCTTACCAATTGAAAATTTCTTTGAAGAAAACATTAATAGTGACATAGATAGGTAACTACGGAACCCTAGACTGCACGTGGTACGACACGTACTTGGCCGGTTTTTACTTTTGTAGTAGGCTCTCAGGATAAGGAATAATCTACAGAATTTGTTTCAGCATTGTAAACACAAGCTATGACCTAGGCTAAATTTGACAATACAACCACAAAAAATATAAGCAATGACAGTACTGCTCAATAAGGTTACGCTGACATCAACATGATGCTCACCACTGTATAAAAAGTAATTTGATATTAATAAGGAGTGTAAACACCCACCAATTCGCCCTGGGCCTGCCTGGTGGTTCACGGCCTAGTCTCTCTATTCCATCCACAGGGAAGGTCTGTGCCCCAGCAATGGGGACATTTATAGGCTGATGAAGAAGGAGTGTGAACCCACCCCAGAGAGCTGTATGCCCTGACAGAGGTTCCTCAGTGAAAGTCCCAGTAGCTGCAATCTACATCGACATTGCGCTATCAAACACGTGACCAGCGTATCTTTGCCAACGTTGAGGAATGCAGCCACGTACAATGCTCCAATCTGGTACAGATAACTCAGCTCGTAGGCTGGTGATTTCGTCACATCATACGGATACCTGAGGAGTGTAAACATATGGTATTAGGTCATATTTATGCCACTATCTAAGACTGGCAAGAAGTGGGTTGTGCAGCATGAGCCTATGTCGTAAGGATCATATTTTTTCTAAGAGGTGTAGAAAATTACTCCTTTATTACCTAATATACACTTCTCAGCAGCGAGGAGTCATAGTGGTTCTCTCATTTCAAAAAACTTCGAAAGGAGGCAAAACAGTTTGATATAAAAATAAAAAGTAGTTTATTATAACAGATAGAAAGGGAAGATATAAATGTCAAAAGCCGCGTATCCACTAGAGGCAGCCTCGGGTCGAGCGGCTGCCTCACTCCGAGGCTCCGCAAGTGGAGACGCTGCCTCAACCTGAGGCACGCCGCGACGCGAGGCAAATTCGTTGCCGCGAGCCGAGCCATATTTATCGGTTTCTGTGCCGTGCTCAAAGGCGCCTTAGTCCGAGTCGTGTGTTTAATGGAGACGGTCGCGCCCGTCGCCTGCATCGCAATGGAGAATGAGACCGCTATTAAGCTGATAAAATCATATGAAGGTCACCGTGTTCTCTGGGACTCATTAAATAAAAGACACTACGATAAAAATGTGAAGCAAGATGCGTGGAACGATATTAGTTTCAATATGGGGATTCCGGTGGACATTATCAAAAAGAAGATTACTAGTCTCACAGGGTCATACCGACGTGAAAAATCACGTCCCAAAAGCAGCCTTACCACGGGATCTGCTACTCGACGCGCGTCTGGTGCCATCGCGTTTTGGCTTTTAACTGCGCAGCGCGCCGCCAGCGGATCAAGCTGAGGCGACACGCCTCGAGCTGATCCGTAGCCGTTGCCTCAGAGCGAGCAACCTCAAACTGAGGCTATTTGCTTCAAGTCGAGGCCGCTCGACGCGAGGCTGCCTCTAGTGGATACGCGGCTAGACATTTTTAAAAAAGTTATATACGTATACATACACCTTCTACAATAAATCCATGTTATTTAAATAAAAATTTTCCCTTTCTTGGTTTTTTTCATGATTTCATATAATGTTTATATGGGTATAGATATATAGGTTTGATCGATATCGCTGGTTAGTCATTTTTTGGCCTCATTATTGTATAGTTAAGTGTTAGTATATTTGCTCATTGTTTGATTTTAACGTCTCTTCTTTGATTCTGCCGTTTTTTATAGCTCTGTATGTTCTTTCCGGTTGACTGGTAGAGAATGCCATATTGGCATTAAGTCCGCCATTTGCAGTGTAAAGGCAATAAAGATTAATTTAATAAAATAAAATAAATAAATAATTCATTGTGTAATTCATTGAAGAAATGATTTTTTTTGTATTGATAGAAGTGGGAAGTATGTGAAAGAAGAGGAACTTTTTGTGAAGTTGATTATATTGCCTGTATTTTTTTATTTATTACATTGCATAAAAACATACGTTGTTAAACCTTTGAAATGATCGAAAATTGAATGCACTTTTAAACCAATTAATGATATTCATATGAAACCTGACATTAGTAGAATCGGACATTTATAAAATTTGGCATTATCAGAATCTTGTATTTCTAGAATCTGGCATTTTATAATCGTCTGAAATTTTCAGAATCTGACATTTGTCGACTTAACCAAACTCAGATTCGACACATCAAAAAAGTCATAAAAAGTCGCATTTTGAAGCCGTTTAAGCGTGTTTCATTTATTACATTAATGTTAAACTCACCAAGCTCTCAGAGGCAGCTGGCCCTTCTCAGCACTCGTTGCCCAGCCCAACATCGTCACAAACGTCAGGCAGCCGAACACGACTTGCTGTATTATAGTCTCCCGGTTACATCTAAATGTGTGAAAAGTTGAGGAGCTCGATCGTGCAGGTGGTAAGCGCGTTCGGCTGCGGTCGTTGAAGTTAAGCAACTTTCGCAGTGGTCGGTCATAAGATGGGTGACCAAAAATCTCGAGTTCCTCCGTGCTTTGGAAGGCACAATAAGCCGTTGGTCCCGGCTGCATCTGCAGTCGTTAGCACCCGCCAAACCGCAGTGGGCCCACGTGGTGGGTCATGGCCCAATCTCCCTATTCCATCCATAGGGAAGGCCCGAGCAGTAGGAACATTAATAGACTGATGATGTGTAAACGTGTTTAGTATTTATATCAATGCGATGGCTCAGTGTCATCAGTGCGTCCAGTCTGCGATTGTGGAAGATAAGCAAATATCGTAATGGCCGGTCATAGGATTGGTGAAGGAAAACTTATTATTGTCTAGTGCTCATTCGGCCTTTGGGAGCACGTATTAATATCTCCACTGGGGAAAATGCGACATGTCGGCAAGAAACGCCAACTTTGGGATACCATCAGAGTGAGGAAGGTTGCGTATCTAGGGCACGTGATGAGACACGAAAGGTACGCCCTTTTACAATTAATAATGATGGGCAAAGTTGCTGGAAAACGAGGTGTCGGTCGCAGGAAGAAGTCTTGGTTGAGGAACCTACGAGAATGGACTGGAATCTCGAGCGCCGCTGAATTATTCCATCTTGCTAAGGATAAGGAGACATATGCTAAGCTGACTGCCAACCTTCGCTGTTCGGAGAGGCACTAGAAGAAGAAGAAGAAGGGGAAATCCAGGCACAAAGAGGGACATGAATCAACATGCGAACCCAGTGCGAATTGATGGCGCTGGGCAAAGGCCTAACGTAACTTCTGAATCACGGAAAGTGCACGATAGTACATTTTGGAGCACCCATTTTTGACAGACGACCTCGGTGGCCGTGGCCGAGTCGCTGGTACGCTGGGTTTCAAGGTGTCGCCTACTCGGAGATCCCAGGTTCGAATCCCGGTAAGGCAAATGTTAGTATGATGATGAAGTCATGGATGTTTATAAAATACATATTTCTAAATAAATATACTTATATATGTATCAGTATATGTATTTAATCCGTTAGCCTAGTATCCCATAACACAAGCCTTACAGTGCTTATTTGGGGCCTAGGCGAATTGGTGTGAGTGTTAGAAATAATTATTCTATGACCAACCAAGCGAAGGTTTTTTTAATTTCCTCTCTCTACTTCCGTATTACAGAATGACAACTAAGTGTTGATCTTTACTTGAGTACAGTTAGAAAGGGATATCGCTGTGCCATATATAGCGACATCCCTTTCTAACTATGCTCAAGACTAGATCAATCACTGAGAATCTTTCTTTAATACGGGCCTTAGTCTGAAACGCTCTAGCTACTGAGCCATTGAGTTCTTCTTTGACTTCTTATTTTCTCATATGCAAAACTACTCAGCTGAGAGTAGCAAAGGACATTACAATACACAAGATCTTCTTGAATATATTAACTAACCTTCGCACTATTTCTTTAGCTTCATCCGAGTCGGCTGCTCGCAGGGCCGCATCAGCATCATGTACAAGATTCCATATGATCTCTCTACGCCACGCTACGTTAGCGAACTTCACAAATTGAGCGATATTGGTGAACAACACAAACGACACGCCCGTCATCAGGGGCAGGTCTCCCCAGATCAGGTACATGTCCACTACTTGGGAGACTAGGTAGGTGCCTGAGAATATATGAATGAAGGAATGAAAGCACTATTGAATCGATAGATAAATTTCTTACCACCCATTCAGGATATCTTGTAGCTGATGAGAAGAATAGACGTAAGAAACTCATCAGCATTTAACAGAAGTAGCAACATTTACAAAGAATGATGTCGCTACTCGCTACCAATACAACGTCCACTCACATTTTGATTGCTGTGTCATACAGTATAAATACAAACAATGTTATATTAGGTACTAGTGGCCCTGCGCGGCCATTCGGAGACGGGTTCCGCGACCACACCCGCCCTCTCGGCACGCACTAGGGGGATCGCGGTCCTCATAGTGCGTGTCGGGTGACGGTGCAGGAGTATTGACTGGTTTTTAGTGGCCCTGTTCAGGGCGTAGGTCAATCGCATTGTAACTGTGAGTTCAAAAAGAAATGCAAACGTACTACAATTTGTATATCACTTTATTATTTTTATCACGTAATAAGAAATTCCTTTCATTTAAAATGCTATGTTATTTAGCAAAAAATTATCCTTATGATTAACCTTTTCGATGGTTATCATAAAATATGTTGTGATATTTTTTTCGAAATATCACGAGTTTGATTCCCAGTTGTAGCAGGCGATTTTAAAAAAAAAACTGTGAATGCAGTTCTAATTATCATTAAAAATAAAACGATGTTTTCTTTCAGTAAAATATCCTATCTCCAATATTTAATATACTTTCCCTCCATGTAAGGCAGCCGTGGGACGCCCTGTATATAATTAATATAGATAAGTATGGTAAATCTTAAATTCTTGCCCACCTTGATTGATTTGATAAATCTGTGATTTGTTTGTATGTACTACTCAAGTCACATTGACTTGTTAAAATAATGTTATTATTGAGCACACCTTTATGAAGAGTCACATTAAACTAAAGATTTTCATAAATATTTTTAGGTTTTATGAAGCCACGATGCAAGCCAAGCTTTTGAAGTGTTTTAGTTCGCCTTATTTTTTTTACTTAGTTGATTAATACTTGTAAAAGTATTCATTTGACATTGTGGGTTACCTATAATGCGAAGAGATGGCGCTGCCTTGCAGCTTAAGAATGGCTAGAAGAAATTCGACGCGGTCCGTGACGGCCGCGGTAGCATAATTGGTCAATGCATTCGCCCGGATTGCGAAGGGTGCGGGTTCGAGTCCCGTCTGCTGCCTGATCCGCGTGAAATTTTTTCTAGTTATATTTTCTTTAGATTTAAACATCAAGCAATTACATGCTTTAAAAAAAAAATATGAAAAAAAGAAGGAAAGAAGTCTACGTAATAACAGTCTACGCTTTATTATAAACATATCTTACCTAACAGAAACATAAAACAGAAGAACCCGTAGCAATTATAAAGGATTCTTTTGGTGTGAGCCCAACCCTCTGGTGACCAAAACCCCACCAGCCGCAGAGCGGTGAGGGACAAAGTAATGGACATATTGACGTTTTTCACCAACATATTGGACTGTTGGACTCTTCGTTCTGAGAAATGTTGAACAATGTTTATCAATAAAAGCTCGATCAGAACCAGCAATTCTATCACAAAAGCTTTAATTACGCTAAAGCAGATCTTCCAAACATTTTGTGCCACTGAAATTCACTGTGATAATAATAATCGCCACTAACTTCATAAGTTATCACATATTGAAGTCATTTTTCAATTTGACGACTCTGTAAGGGCGAAAAAAGACGGCCTATGCTAGGCCTCAGCATAGGCCGTTTATATTCTAAATGATGTAATGGAAAGTGACTTTAGACCTATTTCTGAAGTCATTTTTCAACTTGACGCAGAGTCGTATAACAATAAGTATATAACAATACAGGGAGAAAAAACAGCCCTTGCTGAGTTTCTTGCCGGTTTTTCTCAGTACAAACAAGGTCTTCCGCCGTAGATTTGCGAACCGATGGCGTAGCTTTTCGATATTCACAAGTGCTTGTTACAACCTAGACTGAATAAACGATACCTTATTTGAATTTAATAATATAAATAGTTGACTAATTTAGGATATATGTAAATATTCTCTTCACAGATTTTTCATTGTGAATCCCTAGCGGATTGAAGTTGTCGCTTGCTTGTAACCATCATATTTATAAAATATGATTAAAAAATGGGTATATTTATGTATCTTTATGTATATTAATTAGCAGTATTGCTACCATTTGCCTTGTTTTATTTTGCGAGTCCCTTATGTCATGGCTTGCACAACTTATCAGTGCACAACAGTGACCATGGAAGTTAAAACATTACAACCCATAAATTTCTTAGTCCTCGTTCCATCATGGCTGAGTTTGTGACAGTATGTTAATTTGTTATTAAATATATTGTTTTAAACTTTCATGGTCAATAACATTATAGCTATTAACGGGATTGTTACCATGTACCTTGTTTTATGAGTCTCCGATATTTCGGCATTGTTGCAAGCGCCATGATCACGGAGTAACACGGAGTTATAACACTTAATAACAATATAGCTACAAAAAATCCACGCGGACCAGGCAGGGGACGGGACGGGACCTGGTCTGCGTGGATTTTTTTCTAGTAAACTTTTCTTTAGATTTAAACATCTAGCAGTTAAATGCTTAAAAAATAAATAAAATCATAACAACAATATAGCTATTAAGGGGATTGTTACCATGTACCTTGTTTTTTATGAGTCGCGTTGTTATTATTATATTCTCCATATTATCGAGCGTCTCGATCACGGAGTAACTCCGTGTTATTCCGTGATCATGGCGCTTGCAACAGTGCCGAAATATCGGAGACTCATAAAAAACAAGGTACATGGTAACAATTTCGTTAATAGCTTTATTGTTATTAAATGTTTAACATCTCTGCAACGTGAAGATATAATAGTTGTTTACCCACGACCAAACTATACAAATAGAATTATGTGATTAAGGTAAACATCAGGCCCCGAACTTTTAATTGACTGATACCTATGTGGTTATAGTACAATAGATTTCCATGCATGTTGTGTAGGAATACCATGTAATTAGCACAGAAAATATAGGTTTCTAATTGATGTTTAAGGTTATCAAAATTATTTACGATTACGCCGTCATGTGGTATCATTTTGAGCGAGAACCATGGCGAGCATAGAATAACTTGAAATAAGGGTAGTCTATAGAAGCTTCAAAAGTTCGATGGCGCGGGTCGTTAGCGCCTTCAGCTGCGAGCATTGAATTGGATGGGTGACCAAAAATTTTGTATTTCGAGTTCCTCATGTCGTGTCGTGTTTCTGAAGGCACGTTAAGCTGTTGGTCCCGGTTGCATCTGCAGCCGTTAGCATCCGCTAATCCGCACTGGGCCTGTATGATGGGTCATGGCCCAATCTCCCTATTCCATCCATAAGGAAGGCCTGTGCCCCAACAGTGAGGACATTAATAGGCTGATGATGATGATAGAAGCTTGCAATACAATAGAGTATCGTTGACGCGTTCCCTTCTCTGGTACTATTTGCCATTTCTGACGACCTCCGTGGCCGAGTGGTTTGTACGCCGGGTTCATGGCGTCCCGGGTTCGAATCCCGGTGAGGGCAGATATTTGTGTGATGAACACGAGCATTTGTACTCCAGTCATGGATGTTTAAATATGTATTTCTATATAAATATACTTATATATGTAAAGTATGTGTATTCTATCCGTTACCCTAGTATCCCATAACACAAGCCTTATAGTGCTTACTTTGGGGCTAGGCTAATTGGTGTGAGTGTTGGAAATATTTATTTATTATTTATTTATTATTGTAATCCGTGCAGCCTCTTAGATCTGGAACGAACTTCCCACAGCGATTTTTCCCTGTTAGCTATGATATGACGGTCTTCAAAAGTCGGGTTAACCTTTTCATTCAAAGCCGGCAACATATGAGAGGTACCCTTGGTGCTGCAAGTGTCTATGGGCGGCAGTACCACTTACCATCAGTCCACCTGATGCAAACGAGCAAACAAACGAGCCCTTGTTCGTTTGCTAGTTTGTCTGCAGAAACCTTAGATTAAAACAAAAAGGGAAGATACGGCACTCGCGGCTCAAAAGTGATCCGCTTAAATAGGCTAGTTGACTCATGTCGAATTGTATTAAATAAATGTTTATTTCTTAAAGTATTTGGTCTAAGGAACCTAAATATATCGATTTCACTTCATAAAAGCAGAAGCATGCTGTAGAAATTTAATTTAAAAATATATTTTTTAGTCTATATTTTTTAAACACTAAAAACGCTGTTCGCCACATCCGCCATGATTGTGACGTCTCTTATGGTAAACAACTAAATGTCATTCGCGTGTTACTGTGGGTGGATTCTTTCGTCTGACTAAATTAATCTTCAACACTTTTAACTTTAGAAAATTTCCGTTTACTTTTCGCATCCATAATTAGTTTTTTGAAAAAACTAATGCCGGCTTTGTGAAAACAGAAAGCACAAATCTGCCAAGAATTGACGCATTGATGGTTGGTGAATTTATTGCACTAAACTCCGAATTCTGCTCTTCGGAGCAGAGAAACGACAAGGCATCTATGTAAGTACAGTGTATTTAGTATTACAATGTAGTAATAAACATATAACTGATACAACATATGAATGTGTAATAAAGTTGCGTAGGTTAATTTCTTTCGGCACTTTAATCCACAACTTTCCTGGAGTCTTCAAGGATGTGCTTTTATATTCTCGTACAATATAATAATGATAATTACTTTATTTTTCGTGGTATTCATAAGAAATCATGTTTATTTTTATTATAAAGTCAGTTTTAAGTTATTTTCTACGTGCTTACGAGTTTTTGTTTACTGCAGTTAACGTCATAGCATAGATAATCTATAGACTAAAATGGCCGACAGCGTTTTTGTATGTCCATGAAAAATCTATTTTAAAATTAAAGATTTGTAGCTTTTTAGGTCTCAAAAAATACAATACATTTTTTTTCGGTCTAATAGAACATTTATTAACCATTTAAAACCTTTTTCCAAAAAGGGTCAACTAGCCTATTGTGGTGCACGACCACAATTCGCTTTAGTCACAATTGGACATTCACACTCGGTGTATGTGCACTCAATATAACAATATTGCGTATATTCTGTGTTATAAAGATAAAATAATGCCTTCGATGCTTTTATAAAAAACACAATTAGTTCAAAATCGAATAACAAATGCCTCAGCTGCACTTTTCATTCGTAAATCTGTAAAAACATTTTTTTCTCAAAAATCACGGTTTGTCTTGAATGTTATTCACGTAATCGCCATTTTGTTATTAAGAAAAGGACAACAATACAGCACAGCCGTACAACCCGGGAGCGGATTCGCCGTTTCGCTCGCGCTGCGTTGAAGCGTACTTCTATCTCGCTGGCTCGATTGAATGTTTATTTACAGAGGTGTGCGTGTGCGCAGTGGCGGACTAACAGGGGGGCGGCAGGAGCGGCCCGCCCCGGGCCTCCGATCTTGGGGGCCCCCCAAATGCCTCCGCGTTCCCCTGATCAAATCTTAAACTAGACTTTAAAAATGTGCTTAGTACCTACATAATTTCATCAAGATCAAAACACTGCAGCCATTTAGACTTTTTACGCGGTACTAATATTCTTTTAACTTCGCTGAACGCGTCCAATACGCTGGGGGAATTCCCGTCTCTGTAGCGGGTACTCCCTCAGGTATCCCTTGAATGACTGAAGTACAAATAATTCACTCTTGTACGCCTACATTTAATAACATTCACTATATTTACGGCGAAAAATAAACATTGGCCTCATTTAAAATCCGTTCAAAGTAACCTCATTAAAAAGTGTAATAATGTTTTTGATTTTTGTTGAGGTATAAAAAATTTTTTAAAGCTGGGGGGCCTCATTCAGCTTTGCCGCCCCGGGCCTCTGACGAGCTTAGTCCGCCACTGCGTGTGTGAGTTACTTTATGTAGTTGAGACGGATCATATTTTATTCGATGATAGTTTTTTTTTTTTTTTTTTTTATAATCTTGTTTATTTAGAGGCTTTTACCTTATAAAGATATGCCAGCCCCATCATATAAGCGTAACGTATCTTCCCTTTTTGTTATAATCTAAGGCAGAAATATTGAAAAAAACCTTGGGACCTTATGAGACTGGCAATGGTTTTTCCATACAAACTTTCTCGACTAATTTTGCCTTTATTCTTATTAGATTTCTAGTTTACAATCAATTACATGAGATTTTATCTTTCAAGAACAAATATTAGCTTGTTTGTTCTTGAAATTTATGTATCAGCGATATCATGAAATCGAAATCAAAGATTATAGCTAGAGAGAGATAAAGGTTGAGTTACGATACGGTCAAATATTAGGATTCGTTATAATCTATACATATAATAAAATGGTAGGAAACTGAAAACTGTACATTGAATATTTTTTTTAAAAGAATACTTAGGGTGTGATCTACAATCGACACCGAAGCCAAAAATATAGTTTTTAGAATTTTTGTCTGTTTATTGTTTTAAACTTTCATG